TTAAATAATTTATTTTATTTATTATTTTTTATTTCTTATGGAAAATTTTGCTCACACTATATCATATCAAGTATATCATTATCTTACGTAAGCATAATGCAGAATAATTCTAAATATGTATAAAATACTCGATATCTAAATTACTAGAAAATTATATGTATGGGTTATGCTTGATAAACAATTTTTATCTGAAATGCACACTCTTTTATGTGACACGACAAAAAAATGTTTAATTGTGCAAAAAATTCTTCAAAGAACTTTGTTTTTTAAAATATATACTTCTTGCCTTTATTTTTGAGCAAACTAAATAAATATTAGAAATATTAGAACTATCGTTCGTTGAAACATATTATATACGAAGTTTTTAAAGTTATATGTTTAAATATTTTGGTACATAATCAAATTTTACATAAAGATACATAAAGATACTATTTTTAAATTTTTGTTTTTTTTTTAATTTTCTTGATAACTTTTTTCCCATAAATTTTGTTCTAATTTTAATTCTGAGGAAATGCTACTAATTAATACAATATGATAAAATTTTCCATTTAAAAAATATTTAGACGTAGCTTTATACTTTGCATACACAAATAATCTAATTATTAACTTGAAAAAAAAGAAAGAAGAAACACATTATTAAATTTAATTTTGGAATGAAATGAATATGTTATTTAATAAAACTTTTTTTATACAATTATATATTTTACTATTTTCTATACGTCATTTCAGCAATCACAATTTCTTCAGATATTTCTTACATATGTTTTCTAAACATATAGCATGTGATTTGTCGTTCTTTTCTTTTTGTAAAAGTTGTATTTATATGGACCACCTACCCTGATCATGCATAACTCAGTGATCTCTCTATTTACACATTAAAGTTACGATTATAGCTATCTAAGGTTAAACAGTTTGCATCGCTTATTTTTGTCATTATCGCACTAACTGCCTGTATTTAACTGCAATTAGCGCTTATCATTTGATGATGTCTATTTTATGTGATCACCGCTATTATTATCGCCATTAGTAAATAATCACCTTGCTTAGATATCACCCAAATAACAGCAGCGCTTGCAAAGCGCTAAAAAAGCGAATAGCTTTTTTAACGCTTTGTTAATGCTTTGTGAGTGCTGTGTACTTGGGCAGGCTCGAAATACGATAATAATTTAAGCCAATTTCAAGGTGTCGGTGAATAAATATTAAAGGCGTAGTTTTCATTGCAAAACTACCAATACATTTTATTAGCGATTTTCAGGATACATTGCAGATAACTTCTACATCCAATATATAAAGTGTTTAATGAAAAGTTATTGAACTACCTGGAAATTAACATAGAATATTATTAAGAACTAATATTATCGGCCAGAATTATTAATGCAACTCGTAGTATAAACTAATTTAATGGACAGTACAGTCATGAACGATCGACTTTGATTCGATCAAAATGAAAAAGATAAAATATTCTTGTAGATTTAAAAGATAAATTGTAGATATAACAATCTTTTTGAGAAACTTTTGTAATTAATGCGGATGTAGATTTAATTTTTGTTTTATTATGATAAATTGGACGTTATTATGTTTGTATACTACGTTTGTATTGCATACATATGAACGCAATATTGTATCGACATATATGCTATTTAAATAATTATATAAATTAATAATACAATTTTATTATATTACATATGTGGAAAAAAATACGGTTTAAAACGATATTACGCTGATTAATCTTTATTTTAGTTTTACAATTAGTCCACCTAATACTTATTAAAGTTATGCTCCCAAATATATTTCAATATATATGTGTGCG